ATCGTAATATTGGGTTATTATCATAACTACATGGGTTAAAAACTTTTACTTTTTAGCCACCTCTAAAAAAAAATTACCCCAAGCAACCGCAAAACAAGGATGCAAGGAATTTTTTTCTAGCGAACCTGCAAGCCGTGCATGTCTTTGTGGTGCCGCAAGTTGTGGTATGCAACTTTTGCTTGCTTTTTGTGTGTCGTGGCATGTCTTTGCAGTGCCGCAAGCTGCGATGCCTCGATTTATTTTATAGTGGTTCCTCTTTTCATATGGATGTATCAGAAAAAATCAGAAACCACAAGGAAAAGTGCTTTATGGCGTTGACTTGCAGTTTCTTAGCTATTTTGTGGAAAAAAAATTTGGAAGTGCTAAAAACTAAAACTTTTTTCCCTTTTATGATTATTTATGATAATAACCCTCGTCGCCTTATTGTTCATATAAAAAACGTTAAAACTTTATTTCATGTGCTATTCATACATATTTCAAGAAACATCTATAAATCAATAAATACAAATCACGAGAGCATTAAAGTTATGATTTGTTGAGTAATGAGAGTATCATCGCATGTGTATCATGTGTCATGGAATATAGTATCACATATGATTGACTATAGTAGTAAAAAAATAGTGTTTTCATGTTCTCATAAAATTAAAGGTGTTCTCGTTTGAACTCTTCCCAACAATTGGCGTTAACTTTGTGAACTGATCCTACTCAATTTATAAACAATGTCATTCTTGTAATAAGATAGAAACATATGTGTTATATGTCGGTGTGAATGTAAGTGGACAAGGGTATTGGAAAAGCGAGATATCATCTATTAGACCCAAATTTTAGGTCGATAATTTCTCTTTTGGAGTTTCGTAACCAAAAATTTGATTAAAACAACTGTTAAATATGACTATTTATGAACACGTGTTAAATAGGACTATTTAGTATTTATTATTTCAATTTTCTAGTTGTTTTTACTATTTTATAATATTAATTATACAACTCAATTAATCATATTTTTGTGAAAAAAAAAATAGGTTAGATAAATTTGTCCGGAATAATTTTTACATCGTTCATATCTATCCATTAATTTTAGCGAATCATGTTTAATCTAACCATTTGTCAAAAAAAAAATCAATATAGACTACTTCGAATTATAAAGCATAATGAATAAATAAAAATAAAGGGATATCTCATAAGCTTTCTGAACACCTCCAACAGCTATACTATTTTAAAATTTGGAGAAAAATTTGTTTCAACAACTATGTTAATCTTTGCTTAAAATAAAGAAATAATCTAGAAATTTTATAAAAAAAGAAGAAAAAATATAACATATCTGTTAAAGTTGCTTTAATAATTTTGTTTTTAGTATTTTTCTGAAAGTTGGAACATCATTAAAATTGTATTTTATGCATAAAGAAAAAGTTAATAAAATTTTGATAAGATAGATTATGGCTTCATAGTGGATAAATGATTCCATTGGAGTAATTATGTGATTTTGCTACTCATTTCTCCAAAGTGAAATCCAACTATTCTAACTTTTTTTTTATTTTTCTTTTACATCATCATTTATTTATAATACTAGAAGATTACTTGTACAATGTATCGACATACATCTTGATTTCAGTGTTTYGTTTTATTCTTTTTTTATGTCAATATAATACGGTTTTATGTGATTTTAAGAAAGCGATAATGTTTTTATTTTTGAATAAAATATAAATTTGAAAATATCATAAAATTTTGAAAAAAAATATATATATCGATATCAGTATCAAATTTAATTTTTTTAAAAGTTCTTGTGTTTCGGTGTAATTTCTTTAATAAATTTTTTTAATTAGAATTTAATTTAGATTTGCTAACAAAAAAATTTAATTTAGGTTTAATAATATAATTTTTTATAAAGATAATAACTAAGTATTCTGTTAGAACTCAATGATTATCCTAATTATATTTTAGATTTTTTATATTTAAAATAAGATGTTTATCTTGTATTTGATTATGTTTATCTGCARTTAGTTACAYGAATTCARATATGRARCTTTAATAAGTTGTAYKTAYGCACAATYTACTTGTAATYTTRARTTTTAAGTAATATGCATCAWTAAAYAGTAATTCGTGCATAAAAAATGGTCTTTAAAAAGTTTTTATCAAATGTTTTATAATATAGTATAGATTATATATATTAAATCACATAACATTTAAGAAAACATCATCTCTAACATCAAACTATTTGGAATTAATGCTTTATTTTTTTAAATATATATTTTCAGATTTTATTTTCGAGTGAAAATATGTCATATATTGGATTCATTTGTTTTGTTTTGGTTTGGTTTGCTTTCATGCTTTGGTTAAGAGCTAATCGGATCGAATCAGTGACGAACAAAAGAAATTGAGCGAATAATTTTAAACCCAGACATATGCAACCTAAACAAAATACCTAATTAAAAATGTCTTTTACCTTACATGTTACCATAATATGACTAGGGATGGCAAAGAAACTGTAAGCTGATATTTAAACTCGGTTTGATCAGGAAATTTTTGAGTTGATTACGGATCGGGTCAGAGATGGGTTGTTAGTTGGGGATTGGGCTGCTGCCCCTCTACTCTAACCCTAAATGTTTAATAATGGACGGTTTATATCAGAGTTTTATACGTGCTACAAATAATATAGGTTGTATTTGAAACGTGATATATATAAATAAAAGTGACAAAACCAAGAAGTATATATAACACGTAAATGTAATCAATCTTCTATAATGGAAAAGTTTGATGATATAAAAATGTGGATGTTTAAAATTTCAATCTTTAAGTATTATAGCAGGAATGGAGAAGGAATCTTGTTCCTTGATGAGGATGAAAATAAGCATTGTGGTCTACGTTATTCTCATCCATGTTGTCATCTCTAGTTATGATCAATTTATGTACGACATCTTTTTTTTTTTTTTTGATTAACCTGGATATCCAACCCGCTATGTAAGCTGACTAATCCTAGGACGACCACCTGCTTTGCCAAATAGCCCGGAGTCATCACATTTGAACCTCCGTGGCCACAAGGGGATTTTTATTCCTCCTTGGATTTGAACCTGGGACCTCCTGGTTAGAGATGACCAAATGGGCCCGGCCCGACCCGTAACCGTCGGAGGACCGGAACCGGTTGAGGGACCGCCGGTTATGATCTGGTTAGGGTTTTTGACGTTTTCTGGGACCGAAACCGGTTAAGACCGGGACCGGTTATAGGACCGGCCCGGCCCGGTCAACGAAAGTCAACGAAACGTATATATATAATAAAACGGTTTTTATTGTGTATTTTAAATGTATATATAATAAAATGCATTTATAAACGTATATATATAAATAAATATATAAAAAAACGTATTTATAAACGAGTGTATATATATATATATGTATATATATAACAAAACGTATTTATAATAAAATGTATTTATAATAAAACATATTAAAAATATCATATTACAAACATATTAATAACATATTAAAAATTTATTAATAACCAAACATTTTTAAAAAATATTTTTTTTTTGAATGGGACCGGCCGGAACCGGTTATGGAACCGGGACCGGTATGGGACAACTGGTTAGCTTGACCGGTTACAAGGAAAATCACCGGAACTGGGATTGGGACCGGGACCGGTTACCGCCGGTTTTTGTTTTGGTTAGGACCGGTTAAGGCCCGGCCCGGGACCGGATTTTGGCCATCTCTACTTCTGGTACTTTTGACCTTTGAAGTCAAGCTCAAACCAATCAGACACCACCCGTGTGGTTAATATACGACATCTTTTGACCGATAAACGTGATATTTGAAACAAGTAATAGCACATATTCGATTTAAACTTGATCGAAAAGTATTTGGATTAACTAATAAATTGGCTCCAGAAGCCCGATAGCTATATCATACAGGCGAGTCCAGTTTCATCAGATCAAAATCAAACTAACCATTTGAGTTCAGCGCATTCCTCCATTTTTTTTAGGCTTTATAAAGCACAAGAACTTCATAAGAGCCCATTACAAGCCCAATAAGTAGAGGTCATAAATTGACACAAAAGGCTTTGGAAATGGACATATATGAGACGGCCCATTTCTCCTTGTACATTTAGGGTGTGTCTGGTGTCCAGACAAAACAGAAAATGATAGAATAATTGTTTAACGTCTGGTAAGATAAAACTGGACAGAACAGAACAAGTAAAATGATCAATTTATCCCTGATGAGTTGTTTATTTTAATTAATTTATGTAATTTATTAAATTATAATAGAATAATTATTTTTATAACAAAATATATCATATTTGAAGTTTTCGTCAAAACAATTAAAATGACACCAAATAAAAAGTTTATGTAGTTTTCTATTTTTTTTATCTCTTTTCTATATTATTTATTATTATTAATATATAATAAATTACATAAATTAATAAAAATATAGAAACCGTATAAAAAGGACAGTGAAATGAAAGTTTAAGAAAAACATAAAATACAATAAATAAAATTTAAAGAATGAATAAAATATAAAAAGAGACATATTTGATGTTTTAGAAGAGAATTACGTTTTATTTTGAGGTTATATTGGTAAAATATAAGCTTGTTCCACCTTGTTCCACCCTGTTCCATGGTTTAAGGGTGGAACAGGCCTGTTCCACTCTGTTTCTGTTTGTTCCACATAAAATTCATGCCAAATATGGGACAAGGATCTCTATTATGTTATGTTCTGTCATATCCTGTATACCAAACACACCCTCAGTGTCTTAAATCTGTTTCATCTTCATTTTCGTACGATCACATATGCATAGAAGATGTGCGAGTTTTTCCGTCCTAATACATTCAATCCGTTAGAATACCATTCTTATTGAAAGTTGAAGTTACTCTTAATCTTTATTTTGTTTATTTAAAGTGCTTCCTACCTTCGATTCGATTGCATTTTAACGATATAATCTACGTTTTGTTAAAATGGACTTGCAAATAAACGAAACCAGTTGTAGACATGTCGGAAACTGGAGCTAAAATCGTTATTCCATTGCATCTTTCTACAGAAAAAGGTAGAAGATACACAATAGCAATAGAATGGCAACAGCCGATGTGCCCTAAATGACGCTAAAAGTTAAACGAGGGATTCTTAGGAACGAATCTATAGTCCCACCGTTTATTCTTAGAAAAGGCATCCTCGTGTGGTTATAATGTTTCAAGGCGTTTTAGCCTACAACGAATCAATTTACATCTGACCAACGAAAAAAAGTTAATAATAAACGTATGTATCTTTCACTGGAAATGTGTGCTTGGCGATCTTCCACGACTATTACTATCTAACACGATTTCAAACAAATCCCCTTCAGAAGACTCGTCGTAATCAGACATTCCTCTATTAACACTGCCGAAATACTGTGTGCTCCTCTTTGTAGATCGATCTAACCAATGTGCATCTATTCTTCCCATTGAGAAAAGCTCTTTACTATCTTCGAACCCTATGATTGGAGAACTTGCCATTGGTCCAATGAAACAAGGATTCGGTGTTCGGTGCAAATTAGCTTGTGTATATTTAAAGACACTTTGCCCAAAATTTACGAGTACTGTAACGTCACTGTTTGCAGCCAACGTTGGGTATAATGGTGTTGTGAATTCCTCTGTCGTGCAATGGACTTCACCTACAAGTTTAGAATCTACGGTGAAGAAAACTTTCTTTTGGCTCGGGTTGTACCCGCAACCAATCACCTTTTCAGCTCTTCCCCATTCGCCCGATTCTGATTCTGATTTTGATTCTGTTGCGAGTTTAACTCCTATGAAATTATGAAATCAAATGTTATTTTTATGTAGAAAAATTAAAACTTTATCAATATTAAATTTAAATTCAATATTAATGGTCATAAATCCCATATACCAAACTTATTTTCATCAATTATTTCTCATCATTAATCATGTAATTAGTATAAAATTAAAATTAAAATTAAAATAAATTGTATATAAGTGAAAGTCAAATATAAATAAGTATAAAAAATAGGGCATTTTTGTCTTTTTATTAATTTTTAACTGATATAAATCGATAAAATACAAAAATACCCCTCATTTAATGATTCTATCTTAGATAGAAGGATCAAATCCAGATATTTTTACAAACCATTTTGTAACTTCAAACCGAAGGAATGAAAATGTTATCTTTGATAAACCACAAGGACTGAAATTGTAATTTACTCAAATTAAAATAAAAAAATGGAAATGTGGGTCACATGTGTCACCAGTGTGGAGTTCCTATAGTTGCTTTTTGTCATTACATGAATCGTATTTGATTCTCAAATTCAAGATTTATAATAAATGTTTTATTCCTTTGTTTTTTATATCAATAATTAATTAAAATCACGCCTTAAAATATTATAAGTATTAACAAATTTGACACATTCCGTACGATTTTATTGTATCTATATAATTGGTAATTTAATAAATCTATTGAATTATGCATTAATAAGAGAATATTTTTTTTGGATAAAGAGTTTTTTTTTTAATTTAAAAAATATATAATTTTATGGTAATATAATTAGGCTTGTGAAATGAATAAAATAACTTCTAGAAGCCATTTTGGCTTTTCAGAATGGTGGACTTTGACTTTTGAAAATAAAAACATACCTTCAAGATAAACAGAGCCGTCGGAGTTGAAGCCGACCGATCCCGGATAACTTCCCGGCAGCTTCAACGGAAGTGAACCACCTCCGGCGAGCCCCACCGACAACACGATACGCATTTCCGTTTTACCTTCCACTATATCCTTACCACCAGTTCGGCCCTTCAACTCTTCATTTTTGGCAAGAACACCCCTCGTATTTATACCATTGCTGTTGCTGCTCGTTACATGAATCAAAGACTCCGATGAAGCGTTTTCGCCGGCGGGATTCTCCTGAATCAGCTTAATCTTCTCCCCATCTCCCTTATTTGCCCTTACCTTTTCGTTTGAATTGATTTCGATTTCATCCTCGTAGGTGGACAAAATCGTAATTTCGAAATACGCTTCCTGTGGGAACGGCGACGAGTTCCCCAACGCCGGACCGGGTAAAGGCAACGCCGATTTAATCACCGAAGCAGCCGCCATTGAAGAACTGGGGGTGGTGACGATTTTCTGTAAACCCGAATTAAGCCGAATCTTTTGCATGAAATCGGCGGATCCCTGACAAACCTCCCAACTGATTTCCACCATCTCGACGTCTTTTACTCCGCCGTCACCGGTGGGAGCGCAGTAACCCAGAATAGACCTATTCGGTTGGATGGAAGGGGAAGAGATGTAGTTAGTGAAAGCGAATCGTGACCATCCGTTTTCGACCGCATCGGTGATCAGAGAAGGATTATCCGACCAATTAAAGAGGGCTTTTGAGGAAATCCCACGTCGGAGAACATAGTAATTTGTTCGTCGTTTATTATTGAAAACGCTTTCTTGATGATGAAGCTTAGAAATCCCATTTTGTAAAGAGGATGCCCGTTGGATTGGTTGTTGTTGTGGCGGTGGTTTATGGTGGCCGCAGAAGCGTCTGATAACGCAAAAGAGGAGGAGAAGGAATATTCCGGCGGCGGCAATCACAACGACGATGAGTAGCCAGCGGAGCATGACGGTCGATTAGAGATTTGGATTGTTGGAGGTTTTGATTGTGAAAAGAGGGGAATATGAGGAGGGTGGACTGAGGCTGGTTCAAGAAAGGCAGCATTGAATAACAAGAAACTGCGGAAAATTGATGGAAATATATAAATAAACTAATTAATTAATGAGTAAATTACACGTTTGGTCCTTATGGTTTGTTTAAAATAAGCGATGGTCCCTAACAATCTAATTTTATAACACTCGTCATCCTTAAAAGTTAACATCATCAGTTAGCAATTGTTATAGGGGTTAAATGAGTCTTTAAGTAAACTACAGGGAGCAAAAGTATAATTCACTCGAAAATTAATTGTGATTCACATTTTTTTTAATTACTTATAAGAAGTCATATATCTGATCACAAACCAAATTTCTTAGACTAAAGTACATATTAGAAAAATCTTATATCCATTTCAAAAAACTATCAGATTGACAACATGAATTTTGTGTTAGAAAATCTCAAGTATAGAAAAACAAGAAAATCAAGAGAAACGATACTTAGCTTCCTATACTTTGCTTGCATATCTCAATGTCCAACCTAATATATATATATATATATATATATATATATATATATATATGCAAACTTATCTTGATCTACGGCGGAGCCACTTTAGCACCAGAAGGTACATNATATATATATATATATATATATATATATGCAAACTTATCTTGATCTACGGCGGAGCCACTTTAGCACCAGAAGGTACATTGGCATCCCCTCACTCCCTAATATATATATATATATATATATATATATATATATATATATATATGCAAACTTATCTTGATCTACGGCGGAGCCACTTTAGCACCAGAAGGTACATTGGCATCCCCTCACTCTTTAAAAAAAATTGATGTATTAATGTATAGGCCAAATATTTATCTGGTAATGGGTTGGGTTGCTCATCCCCCAATAACTTAGGGGCATGTATCTACTCGATTTCTATTCTCCCGCCTCTCCTATCGACTATGTTGTCACAAAAGCAAAACCGGACACTGGATGCTCTGCTGGAAGAACCAGCGCTCACCTTATCCTTTTTCCACCGGGTACAAACCTCTATGTGAGTGTGACTGTGGGCTCCAAGCCTAGTCCCTTTACACACCGAGTACACACCACTGTTGCTGCCTATTGGAACTTTGAAGTCCGGAACTCCCTTCTGATCTCTTTGCCCCTGTTTACACCCTCCATCAAGGCATCAATTTTGGGTTCTATTTTATGTTTTGTGAAGCTTGATGCTTTTCACTTGTTACCCTCCATCACCGGTTCTACAGTAGACTCAGGTTAGGGTTTTATATTTTGAAATATTGTGATCACCTATTTTTATTAGTTAAGTTCTTCTTGAGTTCCTTCTTGTTTTTGATCTTTTTTCATTATGAGAAATACTTCCCGTTAATTATATTAGAACTTATCTTACACTACGTTAGAATTTAGATTGTGTTTACTCTTTTCCATTATGATCATGTTTCTTACATTGTTCCTTATTTTTCGGCTCTGAGTTGCTTATTTCCATGGCATGCCTAAATTCAAGCGACTTCTTTTCAGCTTTTGACAAAGCAGATTGATTCATCTTGCTCGTTTTATCCGGATGATTCACCTAAAATGAAACTTTTGATACTTGCTGATCAAGTAGAAACTTATATTGTTGATATGTGGACTATGAAAAACTTTTCTAACCTAAAAGGGATCAGTGATCTTGCGGTTGAAACAAAAAGGGATAAATTGTTCACTCTCGTGTGTTTGCTTATAAAACTAGCAACGATATTACATGTTGCAACTGCGACCATTGAGAGGACGTTTTCAGCGACGAATATTGTGAAGAATAGGTTGCGCAACAAAATGGAAGATCAATGGAAAATATTCGAAGGTCGAATATCGTCAACATAATATCGACACTTTTGTCATTTTCATAACGTCAACTTTTATTTTTTATTCTATATGGTGTCCCCCCACTCGTATAAATTCCTGGCTCCGCCACTTTCTTGATTTCTTTGTTTTTCTAAATTTAGAATTTTCTAACGCAAAAGTCGTCATGTCAATCTAATAGTTTTCTAAAATAAATATAAAGACTTTTATTTAGTATGTACTTTAGGAGTTGTCTTGCTAACTGATGGTGTTTAACTTCATAGACTATGAATATTATGAAATTGAAAAGTTAAAAATCATCAACATAACTAGATAGATTGTTATTAGGGACTAAATCCGAATTATAAGCAAACTACAAGGACCACCAACGTATTTCACTCTTAATTAATTAAATAGAAGCAATGGGAACTTGGAAAGGAGGTGGTGGTGTTAAGACTCTTTCTACTTGGATGCTTGTTTGTTTTAGACTGAAGTTATACTTTTGCTGTTTTGCATCATAAAATACTTTTCCACCAATTTTTTAAATAAATTATTTCACACGTAAAATACTTTTCCATCATAAAATACTTTTTCACCAATTTTTGCATCGTAAAATAGTTTAAATAAATTAATTTCAAATAATTTATTATAATAAATTAATTTTCAGGAAAAAAATTATTTTGCAGATCAATATAAAATCAATTTTATATTCTTTCTTATTTTATACGAAAATAGAAAAGTCCAGAAACTATATTTTCATATTTTAAGTTTTTGAAAAAAAAAAACATTTATAAGGGTGGTGTCAAAAAATACTTGGAGGTTTCATGTTCAAATCCAAGGAGAAATAAAAATCCCCTTGTGGCCACGGAGGTTCAAATGCGGTGACTCCGGGCTATCTGCAAAGTAAGTGGTCATTATGGGATTAGTCGGCTCGCATAGCGGGTTGGATATCCAGGTTAATCAAAAAAATCTTAAACTTGTTGAAACCGGAAAAAAAAATTCCGAAAAACTTTCAGCTTTTTAACGATTAAGTTCTTAAATATTTTTTAACGAATAAATTTTTGCACTAATAAATCAAAAAATATATATACCATTTTTTCCCATTTATTAACAAATTAGTAGCGAAGGACAAATGAATCAATAAAACGAAAGTAAGACACCAGTTTTATTTAATTATTATTTATTTTTCTGATTCAAATGATAATCATAGATGTTTGTTACTATAATAACCCATCTTACATGGATTTAAAACTATAGATTTATGAGTTCCTTATAAACTCAAAGTTATGGGTTATTTATAACTTATACCATGGTTTTAAGTTGGATTAGAAGTTATTGAGATAATCTCTTGCTTTTGGCTTTATGGTGTTACAAATGGCATTAGAGTCGACCCTTGTGCCACCGACATGGTGAGGCAAACCTCGTCGGGTATGATGAGTCTTTGAGGGGGTGCTTGTAACATCTTAGGTGAATTTTACATCGCCGATTACATGGAAAAAGATTTTGTCCTGACGAGGATGTCAAGAGGTTTAGGTGGGGAGTTTGTAACAATTAATCCCCACATGGATTCAAAAAAAAAAAAAAAAGAGTTAGTGAGCTCTTTATAAGCTCAAAATTGCTTAGTTACCAATAACCTTTACCATTATTTTAAGTTAGATTATATATATATATATATATATATATATATATAAAGTTATTAGATTAGTCTGTGGCTTCGAAGGCTTATAGTTATGATCCTGTGATTGTTATTTGAATCTGAAAAATAAACAATGGATGATGAAAATGGCATATAAGAGCATCTCCAACAGCTATGTTAAAATAGAGATTTTTTGAGATTTAAGAACTAAAATATCCAAATTTGAATAAATTTCTAAAACTCCATATATGATTGAGAAATAGTATTTTAATTTTTTTTCTCACCAATCAGATGAATTCAAATTAAATGTTTAAGATAGAGAAATAATATTTCATTGAATGTACTGAAAACTTTAATAATATAATCAATGACAGAATTTCTAAAATATAGTAGGAGTTGGAGCGGGATGAAAAATTTTCTAGAGATTTTTGACTTTTTAATACTTTATTTTATACATTTAATAAAATATTATTTTATTTCTCTTAAACATTTATTTTCAATATCTCTTATTGGTGTGAAAAAATTAAAATATTATTTCTCTCTCGTATATAGAGTATTAGAGATTTCTCTAAATTTGGAGATTTTTCACCTTATTTTGGTTCTTTTATGTATTTTAGCATAAGTTTTAACATAGCTGTGCGAGCAAAAAAAATTCCTAAATCTTCAAAAATTATATTTTAGCATAGTTGTTGGAGATGCTCTATTAATTTCATTTTGTTAGTTTACTGTACTTTGTTACTAAGCTATTCATATCTCGGTAGAAAATTTGTATATTTCTTTCGTTTTATAAGTATAAAGATTTACTCGTTCAAAAAAAATGTCTAAAAACTTGACGTTCAAAATAAAAAAACCCTTGAACTCTTTTCGATTTTAATAAATTTAAAATTTTTATTGTTCAAATTCATTAGGTTTAAGTATTTATTTGTTAAAAAAATGGGTGATTTAACACAAAAAAAAAAATGTAAAAATATGTTAAGTTTGTGTGGACTTTTTTTTTTGTATGAATTTTTAAAAAAGTAAGCATTTCAAGATATAAATCAAACAAAAAACAGTCACGGTTTTACACAATTTGCATTAAAATATTAGACAAAATACTCAACACAAAAATATTTATTTATTAAGGTTTGTTCAAGACACGACAATAAAATCAGAAATAAACGCTTGATTACATATTGTATGGATTTGTTTTGTTTTAGGGAATTTATGGCTGTTCGGTTCGTTTTCTGTATTTATATAGTTGTCTGTATATTAACATATAAATTATTGTTCGGTTGTGGTGCTGAATAAACAGTCTGAATGTCAGAAATGATCATTTTACCCCCAATTTATATTAAACACTATTAAAGCATTTGTTTGATAAAAATGTTGAATATTTGACTTTGAATGGTTAAAAAAATCAATTCAAAGTTTTTTTTTTTTTAAATAAAAACAATTTACTGAGTCGTATCAAACCCAAATTAGAACAATTTCATTCTAAAAAATATCAAGCCCTAAT